AGGACTAAGCCAGATCCTGCACGTGAGGCCATTAGCACATCGCATTGCACCCCCACAGATTGGGCTTTCAGCACCCCTCGCCCCTTTCACATCCCCTTAGGACTTCTACCCTGGGAGGACCTGCTGGAAAGCCTGCATCCTTCCCACCCTAGCACCCTTCAAGCACTAGAGATGGGGGCTGAGAGCAGAGGCTGGATTACACCTGCTTGCTGACCATTAGTGAGTAAAGGCTGTGGGCTTCATGAGCAGAGATGGGTTCCCATCCACACTCTGTGCTTCTTGGTGCCCATGCCATGGGGACATGAGGACTTTACCCTCTTTGCTCACCTACCAGCCTCCTTCCTGATCTGGTGTTATCCTTGCCTTTGACCCCAGTCAGCACTTCTCCCTAGGAATGGGTAGACAGAGACGATTGAGGGTGCAGAGAGGCCAGAGCAGAGGGAGGGTGCTCGGAGCTCCCCCTAGAGGTGAGGGTGCAGCACTGAGCACTGCCGGATGTACAAGGGGTGGGTGGGCTGAACCTGGAGAAACAGGGTCATGTAGGTGTGTCAGCCTCACTGAGGGGACCAGTAGAGCACTGTGCCAGGAGTCACAGCCCGGGAGGTAATGGAGTCTGTGATCTCCATTCAAAGGAGGGGAAAGGACCTTGGCGAACTTTTCAGTGGTTTCCAGCTGTGTTTCTCAGACTCCAGGACCCCGCAGAGATGATTCAGCAGTTCCATGGGGGGAAAGTGTTTCTTCAGGCTTTGGAGGTTTAAATTGCCTAAGGAACTGTTCTTCACTTTTCATTTGTTCTGTGTTTAGGATTTGGGGTAAAAAGATTGGGGGAAAAAAACATTGGATTAGATGGTCTCCAAGGCCCAGCTCGACTTTAACAGTTAAAATGACAGGCATCCGGCAGTTCTTTTCCTCTGTCTTCTATTTTTTGGTAAATTGGCAGGTTTTTTTGTTTTGTTTTGTTTTTTGTTGTTTTTTTTGTTTTGTTTTGTTTTGTTTTGTTTTGTTTTTTGTAAACCGAGTTTCCTGGAATAGAGACACACCTGCACTCCATAGTGAGTGTATCCGATGTCCCACTGCTAAAATCGCTTTTACCAGCAGTACATGGAATTACTTTACCTTATAAATACCACCTGGTGTTCTGAGGCAACACATCTCAAGGCCAGCGAGTGAGAACCCAGCATCAGTACCAGCAGGCCGGATATTCATCTTAATATTTGCTGATCATCTTGTAAAAGGACGTACGTTTCTCTACAGACACCCAAGCAGATGAGGGCTGAACCTGAGGAACTTGTTTTAGTCATCATGTTCTAAACTCATGTCTGAATGTATTTCCGGCACCGGCTTCCTGGTGTATTGGAGATATTATTATCATCATTGTTTTTGTAATTGGTCCGGCTGCCTCTAGAAGGAGAGAGAATTGCAGAGATTAGAGAGAGAGGGGCTCACGTGAAGGTCCAATGGAAAAGCAGAATTGATGAGCACCTTGAAGCGACCAAGAAGGAAACAGGGAATTAAATGTAAATGATCAGAAAACCTTTACATTTGTTTCTGGCTGATGTTCTAGCTGGGTGCTTGGATTTTCGGTCTCTGGTGGCCCTGCGGAAAGAGCAGGGGATGAGAATGGGGGGCATTGGGAAAGTCTCTTTTCATCTCCCAGCCTCAGTTTCCTGACTTTTGAAATTAGGAACGAGGGGATTGCATCATCATCCAGGGCCTTTGCACCTCCAGCAGCTGGGCTTTCAGGGTAGGAGTGGGACTGTGTTGGGCGGTACTGTTTACCGAAAGGCAAAAAAGATGGGAAGAAGCAATTCTAAATAGTCCAAAATGGCTGGGCGCAGTGGCTCGCGTCTGTAATCCCAGCACTTTGGGAGGCTGAGGCAGGTGGATCACCTGTGGTCAGGAGTTCGAGACCAGCCTGGCCAACATGGTGAAACCCCATTTCTACTAAAAATACAAAAAATTAGCCAGGCGTGGTGGCATGTGCCTGTAATCCCAGCTACTCGGGAGGCTGAAGCAGGAGAATCGCTTGAACCCGGGGGATGGAGTTTGCAGTAAACTGAGATGGTGCCATTGCACTCCAGCCTAGGTGACAAGAGTGAAACTGTCTCAAAAAAAAAAAAAGTCCAAAACTGAACTCAGCCCCAGCTTATCTCCCGATGGTGGCCCTGAGCTCTGGGTCTCCTGCCCTCCCCTAAACATGCCCAGCAGTCCCGCAGGTTCCCTCCCCAGCACTCATTCCACCCCTGACCTCCCTTTATTGCCCTTCTGCCTCCAAGACAGTGAGTTCAGTGCTGGAGGGACCATGTCTGTCCTGCTCACGCCAACCCCATCCACAGAGGGCACCCGCTCATCACAGGAGTAGAGTCAAAGTCGGCCACCTCCAGTGAGAGCTCTGCGTGTGGACGGTGAAGGCTGCTGTTCATTACCTGTGACAGCCTTAACTAAGATCCACACACTGGGTGTCTTAAACAGAAATCATCCTCTTACAGTGCTGCAGGCCCGAAGTCCCAGGTGACATGGTTGGTAGGCTTTGTTCTTCCTGAGGCTGAGGGAAGGACCTGTTCAGGCCTCTCTCCTTGGGTTGGGTTGTGGATGGCTGTCTTCTTCACATGGTCTTTCCTCTGCGTGTCTCTCTGTGCCTTAACATCCCCTTTTTATAAGGACCCAGGTCAAGTTGAATTAGGACCGACTCTAATGACCTTATGTCAATTGCATGACTTCTATAAAGAGCCTATGTCCCAATAAGGCCACATTCCGAGGGCCTACAGGCTAGGACTTCAGCATATGAATTTGGGGGACACAGTTTTCCCTGTAGCAGTACCAGTAAGAGGCGAGCCTTGGTAACTCACACTACCTGTCCCCTCACCTCAGTGCCCAGCTCCAGGATGTCCTGGCTCTGTTTTGTGTTCTGGGACATGGTCATGTTAACAGCCACCAGCTCATAAAGATTCTATGAGCTTTGTGTCTCCTAAGGGCCATTTTCAGTTCAGATCGGCTCTCATCGCTCTCATTACCGTCTTTGTTTCTGGCGAAGTGCAAAGGGATTTCACATGTGCAACGGCGGGCAGAAAATACTCGTTCATGGATGTAACTACTTCCCATTAGATTAAAAAAATGTTTGAAGAAAGATTTTTAAAATGGTAGTGTATCAAGTTAATTGGCCTTTCTAGAGAGCCAAGGTTTTGGTTTTGCTCTGCCTATTATATGGTGAAACTGACAAGTCCTCATTCAATTAACAGATAAGAGAGAACGTGCCAGTCAGGAAAAAAAGCTCCCTCTGGGTGGGCACATTTGAGGCAGCACAGGCACACCCCTCAGGGCTGACATCTTCTCCAGGGCCCCCTGTTTGGTGAAGATAAAGGTGCCCCTTCACGCCAGGGAACTGTAGGCCTCCCAGGGATTGGGAACCGTCACCCCTTCAGGCTGGCACCTTCCATCTGCAGCAGACCCATGGAAATTGTGGTTCCACAAGGCCAGAGCCAGCGCCCTAAGTGCCACAGTGTTACTGACACGACCTGTGGGCTTGATCATGTGGTGTGTGACAGTTCAGTGACCACAAGCTAGGAGGGTGGCCACTAAGGGCAGTGCAAGCAGATCATGCTTCTACATACTGCCACATGCACAGGAAATCAGCTCCCCCCAGGCGGGGTTTTCAGGATGGTGATAAGGGGAGTTAGTTTCCAACTCAGGCATCTCCGGGTCCTACCAGTTTTTGTTTCGCCAGGCCTGGGCTTCTTCTTGGAACTTTTCTGAAAACAGAACTCAAGGTGCAACCAGTGCAAGTGAGCGCTTTTTCACAGTGTGTACCTGGAAACCCCAAACCCCGGGACCCAGGGTGACAGTGGGATCCCAGTATGGCATCTGACTCAGGGTCAGTGTTGGCTCAGCACCTGCGGAGGGACTGAGACCTTCTCTGTTGCCGTGCTCTGGGACACTGCTCAATGACAGAGAAATAAACATGGTCAAATTCCCCCTTTGAGCAGCCCACAGCTTCGTGGAGGAGACAGACCGCAATAATTTTACTGGCATGTATTAATGGTATCAACTTCATATGTATTATCGTGGATTCACTGCTCAGACATCTCTGGGATCAGTTTGTTTGTTGCACCACGCATGCCAGGACCTTATTGCTCTTGTAGTTCCAAGGCATGTGACCATGATACAAACCTGAAAACATCTTGGACTGCGGTTCAGCCGGAGAGGGTCTGGGAGACATGTTCTTTCATGGGGGTTGGGGCACGGGAAGCTGGGATTGGGATCGCACTGGGGGGGCACAGGAAGTGGGGATCAGGAACAAGCTGCTGCTCAGAAGCACTCCAAGCCTTGTCCCCAGCATCACAGTCAAGAAAGTTCCCGAGCTTTGAGAGGGGCTTAGAAGCAAGAAATTGTATACGGGAATGTTGAGAAACATGGTCAGGAGGCTTCATTTCCTACCAAGTTTGGAAACTGGGGGAGAGCACAGCGTACACATCCTTACCATGGAAAAGGGAGGGCAGGCGAGAAGGCAGGGGACGAGGCTGGTGTCCTCCCATTTGTCAGCCCAGCCACAGCCAGACACTGGCCATCTCAGCCCTGTCCACCCCATGGGACAGTTCAGCCAGGACAGGGACAGTGGTGGCCAAGGCCCTGCAGCAGGTGGAGGCTATGACTGGAGGTGTCCCTGGGTGCCTGGTGGACAGCAAGAGTCAGCTCCCAAGTCTGTGACTGGAGCAGGGACTCGTGTTAAGCTGTTGAGAGTGAATCCTGCTTCTGCCACTTATGGGCTGTGAGTCACCCCTAATCTCCTGTGGTCACAGGAGCAGCACCCACCTGCCAGCTCCTGCACTGGCCCCTGGGCCTGGTTACTGTGGGCACATGGATTCGGGCCACCTGCTCCGCTATAAAAGAGAAGCACCCAGGGGAAGAATAAACCGCTCCTCATAATCACACAATCTTAAATTGCATGGACCGTGCCTTCTGATGCCCTCTCTCTGATTCTGGCTGTTGTCCTGTGGTTGCAGAGGCCATACGAAATCCACTCGGCCACGCCCATCGATGAAATCCTCAACATGTTCAAGGTGGAGCGTGTCCACTACTCCTCCACGTGGTGCAAGGGGATGGTGGTCCTGCTGAAGAAGGTAAGGGGGCAGCTGCCAGCCTCCCCAGCCGGGAAACTACAGTGAGTATAGAAACAGCCATATCAGCAAACGAAGGGGTAAGAATACAAGTGGCACATCAGGGGTGGAAATGATCAAGTCAGTTGCTCTCAAATGCCAAGTGCCGTGGAATAAGCATGATTATGGGGGTGTGTGCAGGTCAGCAAGCCTTGGAGGACAGCGAAGGCTATGACAGCAAGCCCCCAGGCTCCTGTCACTCTGCTACGAGCTTCTAACAAATGGAAGTACTTAATGCATATGGGCTTTTCAAATCTGCTGCACATGGCCTTTTCACTCAGTGACCTTTAGGAAATTGGGTATCTCGGCCAGGCACGGTAGCTCACACCTGTAATCTCAACACTTTGGGAGGCCGAGGCGGGTAGATCACCTGAGGTCAGGAGTTCGAGGCCAGCCTGACCAACATGGAGAAGCCCCCGTCTCTACTAAAAATACAAAATTAGCCAGGTGTGGTAGTGCATACCTGTGATCTCAGCTACTCAGGAGGCTGAGGCAGGAAAATCGCTTGAGCCCAGGAGACGGAGGTTGCAGTGAGCCGAGATCATGCCAGTGAAGAAAAAAAAAAAAAAAAAAAAAAAAAAAAAAAAAAAAAAAAAAAAAAAAAAAAAGAAAGAAAAGAAAAGAAAAAGATTGGGTATCTCCCTGACTTTCTGCAGGAACTGTTGCTATTAGAATAAAGCAGAGGTTCTCAAAATATGGGCCCAGGACCAGCCAGCATCAGCATCATGTGGGAGCCTGTTGGGAACGCACATCTTCAGGCTTCAGCCAGACCTGAACCAGACGGCTTGAGTGGGCCCCAGTGTCTGTGTCCCCATGCGCTCTCCAGGTGGTTCTGATGTGCACTCTCGTCCAGCATGGGCAGGCAATCTTGGTGCCCTGCCTTCAAGGCTCCCTTCACATCCTCCACAATGCATAGAGCTGGGTCCTGCATGAGGTTGGCACCCAATCGTGTTTAAAGGTCCTGTGTTCTCGGCCATATGATGGCTCTTCTCCCTTACTCCTCCCAAGCCCTGTGACCAGGGAAGTGCCATTATCCCAGTAACAGATGAGAAAGCCAAGGCATAGGAAAGCAAATCATTCAATCAATGCCACAGAGCTATTAAAAGACAGAGTGGGATTTGAATCCAAACCCTCCTAACTCCAGGTCCCAGCTTTTAATCACTACATGGCTATAATGACTTGTTGAATTACGAATTAGTTAAATTACTTTAAAGGAAATCCACCACCTGGTTCTTGAGAGCTTGCTTGGAGGTTCTAGCAGGGGAACACAGTTACTCATATACCCTTGACCGAAGACGGGTCCTCCTCTACTGGGGATTGGTCATCCTCTTTGACCAGGAGCACAGCTTTCAGAGAGATACACGTGGAGCCGTGAGGGAGAAGGGGGTGCCTGGCTAGCCAGCCAGATCAGCCAGATCAACCTCGGTGATCAATGACAGATGTCACAGCTAGATCACCCTCACATCCCATCACCTGGTTCTTATAAGTCAGTGGTGCTTAACCCTGACTGCTCATGAGAACCATCTGGAAGCCTTACATACCACCAATGCCTGCACCTCCCAGCCCACCCAAGTGACTCAGACTCTGGCCCTCGGGTCTGGGCATCAGCATGTTTTCAGAACAGCTGCCCTGAACAGTGAACTTCCAGAGGACATTGGAGTAGAACCTGTTTAAGTTGACACTCACTGTTTTGGGACAGCCCGTAAAGAATGTCAGCCATGACCAGCAGATGCAACCCGTTAGCTATCCCTCATGGGGTGTGACTCCAGCCACTCAATGGGCATAGCTGGGAGATTTCTGCAGTGACAGGTTGTGTGTGAACTGGCAGGGGCTCTGGCTTCCAGCTCTACCTCTGGACACTGGTGTGCCCCCCCTTTCTAAGTACGTGCCAGGTCCTTATCATTCCCATTTAGTCTCATCCTACCCAGAGCTGGAAATGGAGAAGCCTCATTATTTCCCCTGCTTTCGGGGGGAGGCAATGAGCCCAGGGCACCCAGCAGCTCGCCCAAGGTCACAGCTGTTAAATGACAGTCCCAGGGCCAGGCCTCTGTCTTTTCGTTCTTGGCCCCTGCGCTTTTTCAATAGATAAGCTACGGGGTTTCGGAAAGTTGGGGCCCCACTGGGACACCAGGTCATAGTCTCCGGCTGTTCTTATGCCACATCACTCCTCATTAGCTAAAACTCAATTCGAAGAGGAGCCAAAAAATGTCCCCTTGGCTACCAAATAAGACCACTTCATTAGGTCACAGAGGTCACCTCATCGCTGTCCAGGGATACATTTTATTACAATAAATTATATTACAAGTTTGCTACCTCCCATTGCCAAGTTGGAAATCCTAAGACGAGGCAGCTAATTCTATTTGTAATTGGATGCTTCTGCAGACATAGAGAGGCAGCCTGCTACAGGTTCCAGTCCCAGAAAGGAACATGGGGGCTGAATGTCTGGTCCCTGCCCCAGCTGATGACCTTGCAAAAGCAGCCTCGCCTCTCAGCTTCTCCCTGGCTATAAAGATATGAGTGCAGATGGCATTTCCCACAGCAGCGACCCAGACGGCACGACATCAGCTGGGCATGGAGAGCAGAGGCACATTCATTGTCCCGAGACTCCTCCTTCAGAGTCCCCGCTAACCTTAAGGGATGCCCATTTCACAGACGCACATTTGCCCTCTGACTGCAGCTCCTGACCAAGGATCCTGAGTGCCGCCTCTCCAGCCTTCGTGACATACAGAGTGTGCCCTACTTGGCTGACATGAACTGGGACGCAGTGTTCGAGAAGGCGCTGATGCCCGGCTTTGTGCCCAATGTGAGTGGAAGTCCCCCCTGATGTCATGCCACCCCTCTGCAGGGTCCCTGCCTTGGTGCAAAGCAAGACTTTGGCAGCTGGCCAGTGAGCCCTCTGCTGGCCACGGCCACGTGAGCACCAAGGGCTTCTGTCCTGTGGGAATGTGGGGTGAATTTGGGCCTGATTTCCGAGGTCCCAGCTGTGCAGCTTCCCTCCTTATGGTGGGTCCTTTGGGATGGAGACTCCTGTCTGTCACCGAATGCCACCTCCATGTGCTAAGGTATAGGCGTTGGGGCAGCAGGCCGATCTATTTTTCTGCCTCCATGGAGCTGACTGCCAAGTAGAAAAAGACAGGCAATGACCTACCCCCACAGGGCAATCAGCACTTGTTTCACAAGCTCACAGGAGGGACAGGTGGGGTGGGAGGGGCAGAGGCAGGGGCCACTTTTAGGAGAGCCGGCAGAGACCTAGAGATGAAATGAGGGAAGCAGGACTGCCGGGATGAGCACTGAACCCTCCAGGCAAAGGGATCGCCAAGATCACTCTCTTGAAGGCAGCAGAGAGCCTGGATTTCAAAGAACAATTGTATAGCATTTAATGGAATAAACCAGAGGGAAAATAATAGGAAATGGGGCTGGGAGGGAACACATGCCACACCAAAAAAGCTTCCAGAGGCCACAGTAAAGGTTTTAGGTTTTGTCCACCAGAACCTGGAGTGTTTAAGGCAGGGAAGTGAAAGCACTGGATTTACATTTTAAAGGAAGGCTCTGGCATGAGCTGGAGGCTCCTGGGTCCTCCAGGAGAGAAGCTGAAAGTCTGGACCTGCCTGGACGCCTCCTGTGGCCCTTCCTGCAGAGCAGCGGCGTTTCTCCTGGAGGGAATTGCAGAGAGCACCTGAGGAATGGTGACATTTGGGACGGAAGTCCAGGGTGACATTCCAGCTCAGCCGCCTCTGACCTCTGTGACCTAGGAGAGCACACCCCACCCGCTCACCTGCCATGGCTCTGCCCGGTAGCAGTGTGTGAGCAGAAAAGACACCACAAGATTGGTTTTAGTCATCACCTGTTCCAGCCCTGTATTATCTGAATGGAGGTGGAGACTCCAGTGAAGAAGGCAAGAGAGCTTTTGGGGCCACCAGGCTGGTTCCTGGGGAGCCTCAGATGTCCCCGGCTGCTGTTCATGTCAGATTATTTTAAAGACTTCTGGCACTCCTTTTGGTGCAAAAATAATGTTTCCCCTCATCACCTTCTCCAAGAGTGCCAGGCTTCCAGGCCCTCTACACAGTGTTGGCAGCGCACATGCACGTTTCTGAACACAGACCCTCCCCTCGGCTTCCCCAGGGCTCACTAGTGAATCCGACCAAAGCCAAGCCTGGCTGACGCTAGTCTGTTCCTGTCCTCTCCCCGTGAGCAGCGCTGCATCCCCGCCTGCGTAGCCAGCACACGCTGTCTAGGGCCGGCCCTGCTCTCCCCTGAGCCCACCTCTCTCCCTGCCTCCCTCCCAGGTAGCACTCCAGACAGGCTGCGTAATGGCAGGCTGCACAGGGCTGCGTCCCTGTCTTCTAGGCTATTCCGGCTGCCTAGACCTCCTCTACCCATCCAGGCCTGCCTGACCTCAGGGACTCTGCCCGGCTGGAAGGTTTCCTTGACTTCAGGGTGGACTTGGTGCTGCCTCTGAGTTCAGAAGGCTCCCTGGCTCTTCAGACACCCCTCGGACTACTGTGGAAACAGATAGGCCATGGGGACAAAGTGTCCAGGGCAGGCTTAGCACAGAGCAGCTGTTTAGGTAGGGCTCTCTGCTGTTCGCCCAATGTAATTGTTTTAGGGTTTCACTTGGCCAGCTGGGAGCTCTGTGTGAGCTGTGTGTCTGTATGGAAGTGTGTCTGTGTGTGTCTGTGAATCTGTGTGTGTCTGTGTGTGCATGCCAGTGCATTTGTGTGTACCTGTGTTTGTATGTCTGTGTCTGTGTGCATGTCTGTGTGTGTGTGTCTGTGCATCTGTGTGTGTGTGCCTGTTTTTGTGTCTGTGTGCCTGTGTATCTGTGTGCCTGTGTGTACTATGTATGTCTGTGTGTGTACCTGCATGTGTGCCTATCTGTGTGTGAGCCTGTTTTTGTGTCTGTGTGAGTGTGTATCTGTGTGTGTCTCTGTGTGTACCTATGTATGTCTGTGTGTGTGTACCTACGTGTGTGCCTGTGCATCTGTGTGTGTGTGCCTGTTTTTCTGTCTGTGTGGCTGTGTATCTGTGTGTGTGTATCTGTGTGTACCTATGTCTGTGTGTGTGTACCTGCGTGTGTGCCTGTGTATCTGTGTGTGTGTGCATGTATTTTTGTGTCTGTGTGCCTGTGTATCTGTGTGTGCGCCTATATTTTTGTGTCTGTGTGCCTGTGTATCTGTGTGTATGTATCTGTGTGTACCTATGTGTGTGTGTGTATTTGTGTGTCCCTATGTATGTCTGTGTGTGTGTATCTGTGTGTACCTATGTATGTCTGTGTGTGTACCTGCGTGTGTGCCTGTGTATCTGTGTGTGTGCCTGTGTTTTTGTGTCTGTGTGCTTGTGTGTACCTATGTATGTGTCTGTGTGTACCTGCATGTGTGCCTGTGTGTCTATTGGTGGACAGATGTGTCTTGGGGTCAGCAGGGTCAGCTGTGGGGCAATGTCTCAATGCTGGGGACAGGCAGTCTCCATCCCATTTCCCACCCTATTCCACTGGCCAGTGAGAAAGTCAGCTTTGGGTGAAAGTGCAGACCTCACTGTCACCATTCCATGTCCACCGAGCACCTGCACCCACCAGCACTGTACTGCACAGGAGCTGAACCCCTGGGAAGAAAACAACCCCAGGGCCAGCTGCCAGGGAGCTGCAGACAACAATGGTGAGCCTCCACTGTGGATAGACCTTTAGGGAGGGATCATTCTTCGGGATAGGGACTGCCCTGTGCCTTGCAGGGTGTTTACCGGCACCCCAGGACTCTACCCATAAGATGCCAGTAGTTTCCCCTCTGTTGTGACCACCAAAAAATGTCTCCAGACATTGCCAGGCATCCCCTTTGGATAAAGTTGTCCCCAGTTGACAACCACAGGGCTAGGGTTTTGTGGAACCATAAGCCACTAAACCTACAAAGACATGGAAAATAAACCACGGAGCCGAACCTTCGGAAGGAGACCTGCAGGTTCTGCCGAGCCGGGAGTAGAGGTTTGGGTCCCCTCTGCCATCTCTGTGACCTTAGATGGCTGCACCCCAATTCTTCACAGGTCAGATGAGAAACCAGGACCCTCACAGAGCTGGGGAGTAGTGCCCAGAGGCTTCCAAAGCCTTAGCTCTGCGAGTTCCCCTAGCCCGCTTCCTTCCGAACACACATTTTGGACAGTCCAGAGAAATGTACCCACCTTCTGCACGGGCTCTGATCTGCCAAACTCAGGGTGAGGGTGATGAAGGAATCTCGATGCAGTCCTGCACATCAGGCACAAATTGCCTAATTAACGCTTTCCCCATGGTGTCTGAGCCTTCCCCAAAGCTGTGTGCTAGGATGCCCCGGGGGGCACCTGGGGCCAGCCTGTGGCTTCGCCATATTTTGTGCATGAGCCTGTTGACAGGTGCCTGCCTTTGAAGCCCGCTGGCCTGCTGCTTCTCCCCAGCCCCTCTGCTGCACACACCCACACACTGATGCACACTCACAAACACACATGCATACTCATTCCCACACACATGCATATGCACACTTGCCCCCACACTTGATGTATATGTCTCACACATACACTCACCCCACACAAACACATGCATTCATATATACACTCACCCACACACAGCTTCACACACATGCACACTCCCATACAAACACACACACGAGCCCCCACCACACACTCACCTACAGGGCCCCACGTAGCCTCCCTCTGGCTGTGCTGTCTTCTAGCTGGAACCTGAGCATGGGCCACTTCCTCTTCTGGGGACCCCTTCCTCTCCTTGTCCACAAGGCAGCCTCCTACCCCTCCTTCCAGACAGCGTAAAGCAAGGACTGGCCCAGTTGCAAATCTCAGCAAGAGCCTTCTGTATTAGGCCACTCTTGCATTGTTATAAAGGAATAACTGAGGCTGAGTAATTTCTAAAGAAGAGAGGCTTAATTGGCTTACAGTCCTGCAGACTGTACAGGAGGCATAGCATCTGCTTGGCTCCTGGGGAGGGGGAAGTCTCAGGGAGCTTCCAATCAGGGCAGAAGGTGAAGCAGGAACAGGTGTGTCACGTGGCAGGAGCAGGAGCACCGTGGGTGTGGGGGTGCCACACACTCTTACACTACCAGATCTCTCACGAGAGCTCACTCACTATTGTGAGGACGGCACCAAGCCATGAAAGATCCGCCCCCATGAACCACACATCTCCCACCAGGCCAAACTGGGAATTACATCTCAACATGAAATTTGCAGGGGACATGCACATTATGTCACCTTCTGAATGAAAGACAAGCCCAAGCTTGGCCTCCTCTGGGTCATTCCCAGCCAGAGCCACCAGCTCCCTGCACAAAGCAGGCCTCAGTCTCTCCCGAAACCCTCTGCACGGGTGCCTAGGGATACATCAGTGGTCAGAACGCTGTCACAGTGCACCTGCCATCCCGCTGGGAGCTTCAGAGAGGGGAGGCCCAGGAGTGTTGGCTGGCCTCTGCCTGAGCCAGACCGCAGAACAATGGGTGACAATAGAAGGCACTAGAAGGCCTAAGTGTCTGCTTGTTATGTGAATGAAGGAATGATGATGGCCAGTAGGACTGAGCACGCTCTGTGCACCTGGCATAGTTCTGATAACTGTGTACTTATGTCAGCTTCATACCAGTCCTGGGCAGTGGATCCTGTGAATGGCATTCTCAGCAAGGTTAGGTAACATGCCCAAGATTTCCCAGCGAGAAACGGACAGAGCTTGAATTCAGATGGTCTAGATCCAGAGCCTGAATTTTTATGAATGAATGAATGAGTGGCGGGTAAAACAGGGCAGAGCCTGCATTTTATGAATGAATGAATGAATTAATGGCGGGTAAAAGAGACCTCTGGAGTGACCTGGGCCTGAGATTCAACTTGCCCCTTAGGGGAGGGCAACTTCTGGAGGACAGATGTGTGAACTCAGGGAAGAGTATTGTAGTTGAGTTCCAGAAGTTGGTGATGATGGGCACAGCCCAGTGCCAGGCAGGGGAAGGGAGAGGACATCGGCACCGGGAACCCAAAGAGAGCCCACAGCAGAAAGGACAATGCCCAGCCTCTAGGACCAAGAAAGCCAGGGGCAAAGGACATAGGACTCCACTCCATCAGCCCACAAGTAACACAGTGACATTCCTGAGCTAGAGCTCCGGAATGAAAGTGGCTACGAGGATTCTGGGGTCTAAGGCTCAGAAGTCAGGGAGACCAAAATTCCTCCTGACCAAGGCGAGAGGAGCCCCTGGCCAGGAGCAGGGCCAGGCCTGAAGGTCAGCTGACTCCAGCTGCAGGGGGAGCAGGGAACCAGGGCAGGAAGTTGGGCAGATTTTCAGCTGGAATCGTACTTTTAAGTTATTTAGAATGATTTTTGTAAAAAAGATAGTAATGACAGGACAATGTGCATAGAATAAAATAGTAAGTGAAAAAAATCATATTTGAAAACTGAACTGGACCTTATATTTAAAGGACAGGCATAGAAAGGGCCCTAAAAAAAATACCTGGATGTTAACAGGAGTGGAGTTGCCCCAGGGGGACCATGTGTGCCAATAAATGATGTGTACAGTGAGAACATGTTGCTTTTCATCATCAAAAACAGAAACAAAGGTAACCCCTATATCCCACAGCAGTAATGAATCATTACTTGTTGAACGAATGAATGAAAATTCAGTGATGGGTGGAACGCAGACAGACCATGTTTTCTTTTCTACTCCCCTTTAGAAAGGGAGGTTGAACTGTGATCCCACATTTGAACTTGAAGAAATGATTCTAGAATCCAAGCCACTTCACAAAAAGAAGAAGCGGCTGGCAAAGAACAGATCCAGGGACGGCACGAAGGACAGCTGCCCGCTGGTGAGTGCTGCGTGGGAGCCGTTCAAGGAGAGAAATCCTGGGCTCACAGGGAAATGACTGAGCCGGGATACTTTTTAGCCAAAAGGGCATATTTCACTTCTCCCTTCCAATTACCTTATTCTGCGGTAAATAAAATGCCACCATCAAACAAGTATAGGGAAAGAGTGGAGTCAGGCAGTCACGCTCCGGGCATTCCTCCAGCGCTGTTCCTACAGCAGGAAGCTCGCATAGCTCTAGGGCATGGGGAGGGACTCTGGTCTCGCTGCACCCTGGAGAAAGAGTTTGTATTGCGGAGGTCCCCAGGGCTGCACGATGACTTCTGTAGGTCCTGGACACTCTGTATTCGTTTCCTGGGGCTACCACAAGCTGGGTGGCTTAAAAAACCCGTTCTCTCACACTTCTAGAGGCCAGAAGTGCAGAATGAAAGTCTCTGCACTGTCAGGGTCTCTCCAAAGGCTGTAAGGGAGGGGCCGCCCTTGGCTCCCTGGGCCTCGCTGGCGGCCGGGCCCCTTGACCTTCGCTGGCTCACAGCTGCATGGATCCAGTGTCTCCCTCCTTTGCCACATGGCATCATTCTCTGTGTCTTCACATGGACTTTACATAAGGGCCTCAGTCATTGGGCTTAGGGCCTACCTAATTCACTGTGGCTTCATCGCAACTGGATTACATCTGCAAAGGTTCTATTTACAAATAAGATCATATTTATAAGTGCTGGTCACTCAAGGTACCTTTCAGAGGACACAGTTCAACACATAACACCCCCCTCTGCTATAAAAGTCTGGTAAAAGTTTTACCCCTGGCATGATGGTTGTGAATTTCTGGTTTCCATGCCTGTTACGTGGGCCTTAAGTGGTCAGGAAAACAAGCTCATGAATTTCAACCCATATTCCATTCTCCCATGGCTTTTCTGTTCAATTTAATGGCTTAAAATGGAGAACAGCATCTTTGTCCACCAGGCTACCCTTGGACACAGCCATCCAGCAGTCAGGGCCTGCCCCAGACACTTAGCTTGTCTTGTCCCGGTCCCAAGCATCTGAGGTTTCCATCTAGAACAATCTGCTGTCCTCCGATGCTCCATTCCCGTGTCTCCCTGGACCATGCTTCGTCATTCAGTCACCTCTCTGTGCTCTTTGACAGAACGGACACCTGCAGCAGTGTTTGGAGACTGTCCGGAAGGAATTCATCATATTCAACAGAGAGAAGTAAGTTCTTTACGCTATACCCTTGGGCAAGGCCCATCCTAAGTGACCCAAGGTCCCCCTGGCAGAATCACAGCCTCTGCCCCCAAAACCAGCCTTGACAACGAAAGGGAAGGTATCACTAGGGTGAGAGACAGGGCCCTGGCGGGGATGAAACTCCTGGATTTTGAATTGGACAGGGCTGTGTTCTAATCCTGCCTCTGCTGTGTGGCCTGAGCCAGTCTCTGGGAGATCTCATGAGAGTGGGGAGGCCACAGCAGCCCCAAGCAGGCACACAGGAACACAGGTGGAGAGGTGGGCTCCCTGTGATGAGGAGTAAGGGCCCTGGGGTAAAGTTTCCTGGAGCCAAGTCCTGGCTCTGCCACAACAGAATGACCTTACCCTGCCTGAGCCTCCTCATCAGTGTCAGCACAGTGGAGAGGCTTCCTTAACACGCGGGGCTGTGAGAGTTAAATGAGGCTGTTTTCTCACAGCACCTGGTGCGGAAGGGGTTCGTTATTCATATTTACTTGGGTAAGGTGGGTGGGGGATGCTGGAACCTCAGCAGCCCTCGATGGGAAAAGAGACACAGGGAGTCTGGGAGGGTGTAGGTGGGGTGTGCCCTGGCCACGGGACTGTCCTCTGAGGGCCTGGTCAGCAAAGCAGGAGACACCTCAGGCTCAGTTCCAGTCAATGATAATATCGAAGGGATCTGTGGCTGTGGCTGACTTGTCAGAGCTGGGGCTTCAGCAGGGGCAGCCAGTGAGCCCCAACTGACCCACTCTGAGCCAGGCTTTGGGTTGGTAGGGGCAAATCAGAGATGCTTTCTGCCCTCCAGGAGAGTCAAATACTCATCAACTCAAAAATTCATTGATTGCTGGCCCTTATGTAACGCACGTATTCAGCTGTTTTGGCTTTCAGCGGATGATAGCAGCACAGGAGACACGTGCTAAGGCCAAGGGCAGCCCAGGGAAGTGCATGTCACAGCAGACACCTGGCTCAGCCTGGGTGGTTGGGGAAGTTCTTTAGGTTGCTGTGTGGGGCTGTGTCCTAAGGGACATGTAGGGGAAGACGAGGCATTCCTGGAGTGGGAACAGCGCACAGAGAAGGAAGATGGCGTGGCCGACGCAGGTTAGGAGACTTGGATTACCAGAGCGTAGAAAGTGGGTAGAGGTGAGGGATGGGCAGGGATGGGTGTTTGGGTTCCAGCCGTGAGCCAGTGAGCAGGACAGGGCCCCAGTCCCAGTCGACGCTGGGGAGGCAAAGGAGGCAGCAGCCTGTCACTGATCCTGGGGTGGCTATAGCTCTGAGGGCCAGTGGGCGCCCAGAGCAGCACAGACACACACACCAGGCTTGGGCAGCAAGCCTCGCCTGCTAGGGGACCTCGTGCTGGGGTCTCCCAGCTCCGGCCAACAGCACAGGAATGGCCTCTGCAACCACAGCCCATCAGACTTGGGGAAGGCGGGGGCTGACGTCATGAGTGGTTTCAGAGTTTATCCCAATGTCCCCCAGCCTTAGAAACTCTGACCCAGGAACTTCTGCTCGAAGAGCATCAGGGATCTTAGGCTCAGACAGCCTTCATTCTTTGTGTATGGGCCATGAGAGCAGCTGCTGGCAAACGTGAGCCTGTGAAAAGCTAAGCGGTGCAGAACCCAAGCAGACAGCAGTCGCATTTCACCTTTTGCTGTGTGCCAGACCGTGCTTCCATTTGGATTCTTCCTCTTAAAAGGAAATGAGAATGAGACATCCTTCCCTGTGTCATTTAGGAGTTGCATCTGGCTGCTTTTAGCAGAAACTCCACTATATAGGAGCTTCATCCGAGTAGATGTTTTCTTTCTCACATGGAAATGTGAATTGATGAGGGAAATGTAGTCAGCCTGTGGATTTGTCATCAGGAATTGGAAGTGAGGCTGGCATAGTTTACAGGAGCCGGCAATATAAAGAGAGAGGGCAGAAGTCATGTGTTTCTGACAGTGGGGAGCCAGGGAGAGCATGGCCATTGGGGAAGCTGTTGGCTGGGGTCTGAGCTTTGGTTCCTGCTTCTTCATCCTGTCTCTGCTCACCTAAGTGCTTCCCCCATGGCCCTCATGGCTGATAGCCTCCCTGTCACAGCAGGCATTCAGCCTTACTGTCACATAAAGGTGTCCAGGTGAGAGAGCTTGGCTGTGTGTGTCCCCCAAGACGCTGTGTGAGCATCAGCCAACCCCATGCCCACCTCATCTCGTGGGAAGAGCCATGCTCCATCTACCCACAGCCCTCCCTGCTGCAGTTTCTCAGCAGTAAAAAATGCCTATGAGAAATTAATTCACAATGCATGATTGCCCCAAACCAATTATTTTTCCTTTAAACCAAGAAAAAAGTGAGACCTGTTTAGCCTCCACTTCTTTCTCAGACCCCATGTTAGAGGCATCTGCTGGGCTGGTACTTGAGTAGCTGGAAAATTAAATCCAGCACCTTCTTCCCCACTTGAGCAGTGTGGTGAGTCAGGGGCTGGTCAGGAAGAGCCAACCACCAAGCTGAGCTTGTCACCATGCTCCACCTGGACCACGTCCTGGTCCCCAGCAGTTCTGCCCTTTTTCAATCTCCACAGACCTGGCCATCAGCCTAACACGGACTGCTCCTTCAGAATGTGCAGGGGGCTGCAGGCTCCCTGAATGGTGGGGGCTGCAAATGTAAATCACACATCACTCAGCAGGTCCACAGTCCTGGGAGAGGGGGGCAATAAGAATCACCTGAGGGCCTGTTAGCATCTAGAGATGACGTACTTGCTGCAGGTTGCATGATGTCCCTCAAAGATACATCGAAGTCCTGAGTCCCACTGCTTCAGAATGTGACCTTATTTGGAAATAGGGTGGTTGCAGATGTAATGAGTTATAATGAGGTCAGACTGGAGTAGGGCGGGCAGCTAATCCAACATGACTGGTGTCTGTCCTGCCAAGAGAAGAGGTGCAGGCACGGGGAGGAGGTCGTGGGAGGATTACGGTGATGTAACTACCAGCCCAGGAGCGCCCAGCGTTGGCAGCCATCCAGAGCCTGGGGGAAGGACTGGAGCGGATTCTCCCTCAGAACCCTCAGACGGAGCCAGCCCTGCCCACACCTTGATTTCAGACTCTATCCTCTAGAACTATGGGGAATATATTTCTGTTGTTCAAAGCAAGGCAGTTGGTGGTACTTAGTGATGGCCACCCTGAGAAACAAATACAGCCAATACAGCTCCCTAATCTATTCCTTCCCAACAAGAAACTGAGGGAGTAAGCGTGGGGATCTGCGTTTTAACATATCCTGCAAGCCACTCTGATGCTGGACAGTTTGGAATCTTCTGTAGGACACAAGGGTATCTAAGTGCTGCATCCTCTAGTGAGTTCTGAGTTGAGCCTCAGGGACCGTTTCTAAAGCTGCAAACCCTTCCAGCTCTGGATCCCTTACCCTTAGTTTTCATCTGCAATCCTACAATGAATTTGTCTTGAAGATGCATTCCTGCTAAACATGGTTTTAGTAAAAGCCTACTGGCTGTAGGATTCTTCCGGGGGCCTTAACTTCCCTGAAGAGCTGGCTTCCTCTTGCATAGGCCAAGTATGCTTCCTCAGCTAGAGAAAGCTCCTGGGCAGAGAGATGGTTCCAGCAACTCCCATTGTGGTAAAGAAGCCATCGTCTGCATGAAGCTGCAAGTAGGAGCTGAGAGGACATGGGCAGGGCGCCAACTGTGTCAGCCCTGCAGGACAAATGCATTCCGTCATTTGACAGCTCAGTCATAAGCCTAGACTTGGCCTCACACAGAAGTGAGTCTTCAGGACCTGTGTCCTCAGGATGCCCATCACCTCCAGTGGGACGATTACCAAACAGTATGGCATGTGCAGTGAAGCAGACACACACCGGCCACCATGGGGACAGGAGGAGGTGCCCTGGGGCTAACCTCTCTGGACCTTTGTTTCTAAACAGAGAGCAAAATTAAAATTAGCACTGCCTAATTTTCTGGAAATGCAGCTTATTCTTGGCTAATGGTCTCAGCTGGCAAAAGGCCACTGAGCAAGGTAGAGCGTCTGCTTCCAGGGCTGGTCAGGGCTGAGACTTCCAGTGGGTTGTGAAATGCACTGGGAGTTCGTCCTCCTATTTTTGGTCAAAGATCTGAGCAGGGCTGATTTTTCCAAGAGGGCTTTTCAATAGCATTTGACAAAATTTTGCAGAATAAGAAGCTCCTGGTGAGAAAGGAATTTCAGGGGCATTTTCTATCCTTGCTGTCTCTTGAAGAAACAAAAACAGATTTCAAATCATATAAAAGCTACCTCTGGAGCCCTTGAAAATATCACATGTTAAAAATCTAATATTTCGTCTCATTATTGCACCTACTAATACTATTAATACTACTAATAACCATCGTTTGTATGTGACTTTATGGTTTTAGATCATGTTCCTTTAAGCTAGGGTTTCTTAACCTTGGCACTGACTGTTGACATCATTTCTGGTTGTGAGGGCCATCCTGTGCATTGCAGGACATTTATAGAATCTCTGCCCTCTACCCACTAGATACCAGTAACACCTTCATAGGGTAACAACCAAAAATGTCTCCAGATATTGCCAAATGTTCCTTGGCAGGCAAAATCACCCCCAACTGAGAGCAAGTGCTTTAGGCCTTACTGATCACATTTCCCTAAAAGCAATATCATTAGTATTCTCAAGGTCTTGCAACATGAAGGACTTGAACTCTAATCTCCCATCTGGTAGGTCCCGGGCTCTTTCTTCTAGCTGTGCTTCATTGAATGTTTGGCAGATGTTTATCCAGCATCTCCCTGGGGTCAGGTACAGGGGATTACTGCTGGGGGCAAGGCCCCTGCTCTCATGGAGCTTACACCCTGGTGGCTTGAGCTTTCAGATGTACAGGAAGGAGTGTTTTGCAAAGTGGGTGGCCTTGAGGGTTCTCTCCAATGCATCCAGTGGGCAGTGGCAGGCATGGTATAGATGGTCATGAGAGCTCCCTTTTACTGGGTCTTCACTCTATGCAATTTAGTCTGTGCATCCATCCTCTG